TACGTACGTACGTTACGTACGTACGTACGTACTACGTACGTACTTCGTACTCTACTACTACTACTACTACTACTCTACTCTACTCTACTCTCTACTCTCTCTCTCTCTCTCTCTCTCTCTCTCTCTCTCTCTCTCTCTCTCTCTCTCTCTCTCTCTCTCTCTCTCTCTCTCTCTACAGATGTTTTAGGTTTTGTGATCTAAGGATTTATTGGTTCAAGTGATGAGCTCAATTTTGGGTTAAGAAAAATTATGTGACTATATTGATCTTGTATTCTTATGGTGCGAAATGGGACTTGGGATTTCGCTTTTTTGTTTGATAGTGTAATGGTGGTTATATGTTTGTTGTTTAGCAAAATCCCAAGAGTTGGGTCATTTGGAGTCTTAGGGAGCTCATTGAATTGATGTAGAAGGTTGTGGTTCTCTACAACATTCATTCAATGGGTGAGGTTGTATGATGTGCCACCAAGTTGCACCTCCAAATTTTGCCAGACAATGTAGTTTCGGTGTTGGAAATTTTATGATGGAAATGGCTTGGATATCAATATTCAGCCCTAATTATGAAATTTAAATTCAGAAAACAGAACAAATCAAGTAGATCTATCAACACTTAGAAAATCTTGAATCACCAATACATAAATATATGAATCAAGGTCGCTGATTTTTGACATGCATTTGGGGCATCAAATTTGATGCATCAAGGAAATAAATCAGATTATACAGGAACAATCTCAGCATTGTTATGTACAGAACATCACCAAAAACCACCAAACAAACAGAGGAAATCCAACCCACAATAAGAAAAACAAAAAACAAAAAATCTTTATGGAGGGACAATAGCAAGAGATGAAAGTTCAATATTGTAAACTGAAATTTCATGGTTCCCATTTCAACCCATGAAATAAAGACCTAATGTAGCTCTCTAGAATCAGTAAACTAGAATCACCAATACATGGATATATGAATCAAGGTTGTTGATTTTTGGCATGCATTTGGGGCATCAAATAGTATGAATTAATGAAATAAATCAGGTTATCTTGTTCACTTGTTTACAAAAAAATTGAAACAAGAAACCAGAAAACAAAACAAAATCCAGGAGATTTAGAACAGAGAAAAATTGAGAAAGCCATTAATTTTTTTACTGCAGATTCACAACAGAGAAAAATAAGGAAAGCCCTACATTTTTTACAGGGTTTCCTAAAAGAAAACCCTGAGAGGATCCAAAAACCAAAATTAGTAAGAAAAAAAGAAAAAAAACGAAAAATATGCAAATAACTCACTGATTGAGAGGTTGGTGCTCTTGCTCACTCAGGGATTGCTCTTGCTCGCACAGGTTCTTCTAGCTCTTGTTCGCAGAGGGTGAGAGAGAGAGAATGGAGGGAAGGGAGGCTCGAAGAAGAGGGAGATTGCGGAGAGGGGAAAGAAGAGTGCCTCACTAGGGTTTTGACAAGGTGAAAATAGCACGCAAGTTTTCAGTGAAAACTCTCGCACCCCCCATCCCATGCGCAGACAACTTCTTAAGAGGAACAGTGAAAAGGGGGAAATGGGTGTCCCGACTTTCACCTCTTTTCCTTGGCATGAGAAATCCGATGCCTCATGCCTCTGACATATGTACCCGTGTTCATGAGATGTAGATGCAATGTCATATGTGGGCAAGTGGGTGGTCTTCTCATGATTGTCGATGAGATCATTGATCTAGGATGCTTCAAGCCTATCACTTTACACCATATGGCTAGGGAGATTAATGTCTAAGCCAATAAATTGGCTAATGGGTAATTTGTCCCATAAGTCTCTCCTCATTAAGGTGGTTGTAGGGACGTCATTAAGGTGGTTATAGGGATATATGTTGTTGCTCTTTTGTGTGATATCAATTGGGTAGTTCAAAGGTAAGATTCAAACTTGGGATGTAGCCTTAGCTAATCAAGCCCAAACTTGAACCCTAAACTTCCTACTCATAAATGTCTTATGAGCAATAACTTTGATGTGGAGGAATTAGACAGAGTCACGATGAGGGTGCACATTCCCTTTATTCACATCTCTACATCAGAGAATTGACTAACATAACCCTTGATTAAGATCCACAGTAGTCCAACAACAAGTATGCTCATTATGAAGCATTCAGATTTCCAATTTCCTTATTGAGTTTCTTAAATGAAAGATTTAAACATGTATGATGAGTGAATAGGATAGGTTTGGTTCGGTTACCTTTTTCTGCTGGATAGGCCAGTTATCAAAAGTTTGCATGACTGACAGTTTGGTATCAACCCCAATTTCAACATCTCATCATGCATTTGGAAAGCCTTTTTAACATCCTTATTTTTAATATGCGCTCCTATAATCTCATTGTAACTTTCCACGCTAGGCATCTGAAAATTCCCTGAAAAGTAGCACAAAACCATTTCTGCCTTATCCAATTCTCTACTCTTGCAATACCCACTAACCAAGGCTCCACATATCATGGAGCTAGGAACCAGACCAGATTCAACCATCTCTCTCATCAATTCTTCTCCCTCTAAGAGTCTTCCTCCCTTACACAAGCTACATATCAGTGTTTGGTAAGTATAAAAATCAGGTTTTATACCTCTACCCATCATCTCCTCTCTCACAACAACTGCCTCTGTGACGTAATTATTTTCACACAAACTTTTGATTAAAAAGTTGTAGATTGGTAAACCAGGTTCAAACCCATCTTCAATTATTCTTCTAAGAAAGCTTTTAGCAACATTGGGCCTGTTATATATGCATAATGAAGCCATAAGAGAAGTATCGATTTCACTAGAGATCGGAACACATAGCTTCCGAAGCCATAGAACCAATTTCAAAGCCGAAATCAGTTTCTTTCCCCTCTTATACCCTTCAATAAAAGACCTGCAAGTGAAGTCATCAGGCTCTAAACCTGAATGAATCATTTCGTTCAATAAGGCCCTCGATTTCTTCATCTCCCCCTCCTTGCAATACCCACATATAAGCGAATTATATATAAATTTATCAGGAGCTATTCCTCTGTGAACCATTCTATGAAACAGCTGATGAGCCTTCCTAACTCTATGTTCCTTACACAAACCAGTGATCAAGATAGTGTAAGAAACTAGGTTGGGTGCAACTCCCCTCCTATACATGATCTTGTAGAGATAAAGAGCATCTCCGAGTTTGTCTCTCTTGCAATAGCCATCTATAAGTGTATTGTATGTAACTAAATCAAGGTCTAGCCCTTCTCTCTCCTCCATTCTCTCTAAAAATTCAGTGACTCTATCAAAATCTCCTTTTCTACATAAAGCATGAGTCAATATGTTCAATGTGTAAGAATTGGGAGGAATCCCAACTCTGCCCATCTCTTCATAGATGTCCCAACAAGTGTTGATTGCATTTGATCTCAACAAGCCATTTAACAAAGAATTGCATGCATTGATACTTGGAACCAAGCCAAAGCCTATCACTTTCTTAAAACTCTCTAATCCTTCATCGATCCTTCCCAACTGAACATAGCACTTGATAAGCATATCAAGAACAACTGGGTTCCAATTACATTCATCCATTGATTGAATCAAATTTTCAAACACTTGGCATTCATGGGTTTTTATCAATTCAATGATCAATTCCATTGCTTGTGAGAAAGATCTTGACCAGGTGAGAATATGAATGATTACGCAGTAATTTTTCGGACTCGGTTTTAGGCTGGGCTCTGTTCTGATACAGTTGAAGAAGTTGAGAGCCATTGATGGGTTTGACTGGGACCTCAACAATATTCTTTGTGCATCCACCATGCTCAAATTGGTTAGAATGGATTGTTTTTCAATGGAAGTGAAACCCATATTTTCTTTTAGCTTTGAGAAGATAAGGTCTACCTTGTTAGGGATTTGGGTTCGTGAGTGGAAGTGATAGAAAAGTAAGGAATTGGGTCTTGGTATTTTTAGAGAGAGAAAACGGAGAAGCATCTTTGTAGGAGAAAGTACAAACATAAAAACTATGAGGAGAGAGGTGGACCTGGTGATAATGGCTATTGTAACGATGGAGGAAGCGCAACTATAGAGGAATTTCTCACATGGCGGAACTACCAACGATGGGGAATCCAGTGGCTTGGTCGTCCTCTAGGTCCATTGCAAGGGGTAGGAGCGCAGGCGGTTGCTATGATTCTTTAGGGCTCCTGCAGGTTAGTTGCTATGGCCACGCAGGGAACTGAACACGACTCGTAGCGATGAAAAAAGCGGCCCACACAACTGAACACGACTCGCAGCGATGAAGAAGCCGCCCAGTTGAACGTTATGTCTAACTTTTTTTACGGTGACTCGGGACCGACTCTTGGTCGGTTAGCAGTGGGCCATCATAGGTCCGACCATCGGGGCTAGGTCGTGCGGTAGGATCCGAATGCTTCGACTCTGTTGCTCCTATGATTCCCCGCGTGACATTGGTATGCAATAAATCGCAGTAAAACCTCAGCAATCAGCAAGAAGGCCTTACACATCATCGCTTTTACTTAAATTTCCTTCTTCAACGGAGGATTTAAACTCAAAACAGCTCCCTCCAACTGACTAGGTAGGATGACGTCGAGAGAGAACACCGGTACAGCAAGTGGATTTAGCAACGAAACGGGGTTTCTTTGATTATTGTAGATATGACGTCTTATGCATGACGTTGCCTGTAAATATTAAATAGGCCACCAATTTCGTGAAATAACTTGTTTGTGGTAAAACTAAATTAGGGAAACTAAAATTGCTTTATTGTAATGACATACTTTCTTAAGTTTTTTCATTTTTTTCAGTTTTTTCCCCTTTGAATTCATATACGAGGATAATTACTTATTTATGGCGGTAGTTTTGTATTTCTAGGGAGGAGTCTAAGCGTAAGCTGGTGAGGATCTTGGGCTACGTCGATGATGACGTGGTCACCAACAACTTTGTCGTAGACAACAAGATGCAGGTTTAGTTAGTCTCAACTTTTAGGAACACAAAAATGAGCATAGATGATGTGGGAATTTCTTTTATTGGTTTTTTTTTGTTGAGGGCAGAGTCTGAGGGTAAGCTGAAGGCAACTTGGGTTAAATTGAGGATGACATGGTCTCCAGCAACTATGTTGTAGACTGCAGGCATGCAAGTTCAATGTCAACTTAGTTTATTCCTCCTATATGGGATGGTTGGGACTTGAGTACAAATGGTGTCGGACTAACTTTGGTTGGCTAGTTTGGCTAGGACTTGGCCTTGGGCTTGGGCGCGAGTGGTTAGCGGTTATCGTTTTGTGCACCATCTCAAATTCGATTCCTACCGACGATAAAATTGCAATATCAAAATTCTTCTAAAGGTCTACGTAGTTTGATTAATGTCATGCAATAATGAGGTTTGGGTATATTTGCCCAAACCGTTCTCCCCCCTTTTCATGTAGAAAAATTATTCAAATACTGCTTTTCGAGGGGTTTGTTTTCACCCAAACAAGGTGACGGCATTTTAAAACATAGACTTGTTCTTCTTTAGTTGTAGCACTTTCCTTTGATAAAATCTTCATAGTAGGTTTATTTTTCCATTTCAATAAAAGGAAAAGTTGGAGTTGTGTAATCTTTTCATATAAAAAAATTCCCTTAGAATTGTCTATGTGCACTTATCTATAAAGGAAATGCAGGGACATGTTTTGTTATGAGTTTTTCAAGCATTTTACATGTATGTTTATTTGTTCGATTATCCAAACATTGATGATCGTTTCTTGCTCAAAATGTTGTTTGATATTTTGGGATTTTGAAAAAAGTATTTTTCTAAAAAAAGTATATTTTTTAATAAAATTATGTTTTTTGATGAATATAGGATGTGTTTTTTTATTTTTCTTAATAAAATTATTTTTAATATAATTATTTTTTAATATAATTATGTTTTTTGATGAATATGGGAAGTATTTTTTATTTTTCTTAATTAAAATTTTTAATAGAATTATGATTTTTTAATAAAATTACGTTTTTTGATGAATATGGGAAGTGTTTTTCTATTTTGCTTAATAAAATTATTCTTTTTGATAAAATTATTTTTTTATGAAATTGATTATTCTTTTTTGTAAGTACATGATAATGTCACTCGATCTTTTGCTCGATTTTTTTTAAGTGCATGATATAGTTATATTTGTAATGATGGAAATGGGACATTTTGTTTTTTTAAGTGCATGCAAAAAATTTTGTTGCCTTATGTTCAATGAAACACTACACCATCGTCTTGTATGTGCTTGGTTCTTCTCTTTTTACTTTTTTTTTTTCAAGGTTTTTAGAATGTTATGGAAAGAGTCTTTAAAAGATCAGTTGATTTTTAAAAAATCAGCTGACTAACTCGGGATCGGTCACTGGCCGATCCCAATCTGGCCCCATTCCACACAAAGAGAGAGAGAGAGAGAGAGAGAGAGAGAGAGAGAGTAGTTAATAAGTGTGTATTACTTAATTACTAATACTACTCCTCTATTATTTAGAAGTAATTAGTTAATTTAAAACTAAAAAAACTACTTATTTGTACTTAAGTTAAATTAGTTTGGTT